GCTTGGCTGGCACTGGTGTGGCTGTGGAGGGTTCCAGTGGCACCGGTGACACCTGTGTCTTCCTAGCACAGGAAGACACGGCACGGGGGCTTGGTGGCACTGGTGACACCCGTGTCCCCGCAGGCTCCGTGGCAGCGGGTGGCTGCTGTTCCTGCTGGTGCTGGCGGGCGCGGTCTGGCTGTGCCGCCTGGTCACGGCGCTCCGGCGCCTCGTGGGCTACTGGGAGATCCGGAGCTTCTACATCCGCGCGCTCGGCATCCCCGCGGTGAGGGGGGCTGGGGCCGCTGGGGGGGCCGGGGTCCGGGCTGGGCCGGAAGGGGCCGCGGGGCGCCGGGCCACGCCAAGCCACACCGGCGCCGCGCGGCGCCGGCCGTGCCCGGGTGCCCAGCGCCGACCCCCGTGCCGTTGCCGCAGGAGGAGCTGTGTAACCACAGCTGGCAGTCGGTGCAGGCCCGGCTGCTGGCCCTGCAGCGGCGCCAGCCCCTGTGCGTGCCGCGCCGGGAGCTGACGGAGCTCGACATCCACCACCGCATCCTGCGCTTCCGCAACTACACCGTGGCCATGGTCAACAAGTCCCTGCTGCCCGTGCGCTTCCGCCTCCCGCTGCTGGGCCCCGTGGTCTTCCTCACGCGCGGGCTGCAGTTCAACCTGGAGCTGCTGCTGTTCCGCGGCCCGGCCGCGCTCTTCCAGAACACCTGGAGCCTGCGGCCGCAGGTGAAGCGGGCGGGCGCGCGGCGGGCGCTGGCGCGGGGGCTGGCGCGGGCGGCCGTGCTGCTGGGGGTGGCCAACCTGGCGCTGTGCCCCTGCGTGCTGGGCTGGCGCCTGCTGCTCGCCTTCTTCAGCTACGCCGAGGGGCTGAAGCGGGCCCCGGGCAGCCTGGGCGTGCGCCGCTGGTCGCTCTACGCGCGCCACTACCTGCGCCACTTCAACGAGCTGGGCCACGAGCTGCAGGCGCGGCTGGGCCGCGGCCACGCGCCGGCCACCAAGTACATGGACTCGTTCAGCAGCCCGCTGCTGGCCGTGCTGGCTCGCCACGTCGGCTTCTTCGCCGGCTCCGTGCTGGCCGTGCTCATCGTGCTCACCGTGTACGACGAGGACGTGCTGACGGTGCAGCACATCCTGACGGCCATCACGCTGCTGGGGCTCGTGGTCACCGTGGCCAGGTGGGTGCCGGAGCGGTGGTCGCGGTGGCCGGGTGGATGGGCCGGACTGTGCCGTGCCGTGCTGGGCCGGGTGGGCAGCGGGGGCTAAGGCGGGACCCCGCCTGTGCCCCTCCAGGTCCTTCATCCCGGACGAGCACGCGGTGTGGTGCCCGGAGCAGCTGCTGCAGCGGGTCCTGGCACACGTGCATTACCTGCCCGAGCACTGGCAGGGCCGCGCCGGCCGTGCCGAGACACGAGCAGAGATGGCGCAGCTCTTCCAGTACAAGGCGGTGGGTGCAGGCCCCCACTGCCCGAGACCCTCCTCCCCAGCACCCCACTCCCCTGGGACCATCCTCTCCCCACAACTCCTCACCCCCAGCATGCCACAGACCGGGAGCCCCATCCTGGGACTTCCCAGCCTCGGGATCCCCAGCCTGGACCCCTCAACTCTGGGACTCTCTGCTCCAAGGCCCCATTGCCCTGGGACTCCCTGTCCTGATCCCCTGCCCCAGGACCCCCACGCTGGGACCCCCCTGCACCAGGGCTTCCCACTCTTGAGGGACCCCCATCCCAGGAGCCTCCTGCTTTGGAATCCCCCACGCTCAGACCCCTTCACCCTGGGCAGCCCTGCCGAGGACTCCCCTCCTCAGGACCTACTGCCCTGATACCCCCACCCTGGACATCCCACCCCAGGGCTTCCAAGCCTGGGGCCTCTGCCCCGGGGCACCCCCAGATCCCACGGCCCCCCACCGCAGGTTTTCATCCTGGAGGAGCTGCTGAGCCCCCTCGTGACACCCCTGATCCTCATCTTCGCCTTTCCCCCGCGCGCCCTCGACATCGTGGACTTCTTCCGCAACTTCACGGTGGAGGTGGCGGGGGTGGGCGACATCTGCTCCTTCGCGCAGCTGGACGTGCGGCACCACGGCAACCCGCAGGTGGGGCCGGGGCCCGGGGCGCGGCGTTGCGGGGCCGCGTGTCCCTGCGGGGCTGTGCCACGTCCCTGTCCCGCAGTGGCTGTCGGAGGGACACACGGAGGCTCCCCCGGAGCGCCAGGCGGAGCACGGCAAGACGGAGCTGTCGCTGATGCGCTTCGCCCTGAGCAACCCGCGGTGGCGGCCGCCGCCGCCCGCCCGCCGCTTCCTCGGCCACCTCCAGGCGCAGGTGACCCGGGACGCGGCGGCCGCGCCCGCCCCGCGGCACCCGCTCGCCGAGGGGCCGCTGGCCGCGTCCCTTCTGTCCGAGGACTCGGCGCTGGCGGTGAGTGGGGGCGCGCCGGGGGCGCCGCGGGGTGTTTTGGGTCTCCCCTGACGGGTGTCCCCTCAGCCCGAGGGGCTGGTGACGAGCGTCTTGGCGGCCAGCGGGCTGCTGGCCCGGGACCCGCGCCTCGGGCAGCCCTGCAGCACGGCCAGCGCCACCGCCAGCCTGCTGGCCTCGCTGCGGAGCCCGCTGGGGACACCGCCCTGCGCGGCCCCCGACAGCCCTGCGGAGCACCAGCGCCCCGGGGACAGGTGGGGACGCGGGGCGGGGGCGCGGGGAGCGGGGACGGGGCTGGGAAGGGTCTCAGGGCAGCCAGGGTGTCACTGGGGGGCTGTCGTGGTGGGCAGGAGCGTTGTGCTGGCGATGGGGGATGGACGGGTGTCACGGCAGGGAAGGGGTGTTGTGGCAGGGAGGGGTGTCACGGCAGGGAAGGGGTGTCACAGTGGGAAGGGGTGGCAGGGAGGGGTGTTGTGGCAGGGGAGGGGTGTCACAGTGAGGAGGGGTGTCACGGCAGGGAAGGGGTGTCACAGCAAGGAGGGGTGTCGTGGCAGGGAGGGGTGTCACGGCAGGGAAGGGGTGTCACAGTGAGGAGGGGTGTCGTGGCAGGGGAGGGGTGTCACAGTGGGAAGGGGTGGCAGGGAGGGGTGTCACGGTAGGGAACGGGTGTCACGGTGGGAAGGGGTGTCATAGCGAGGAGGGGTGGCAGGGAAGGGGTGTCACAGCGAGGAGGGGGTGTCACAGCGAGGAGGGGGTGTCACAGCGAGGAGGGGGTGCTGTGGCGGGGCTGTCACCCCGTGCCGCCCCTCCCGTGCCCCAAGGCCGGCGCTGAGTGAGTCGCGGCTGCGCAGCCTGAGCCGCTCGGCGCTGCTGGCCGAGGTGGCCTCCGCCGAGATGAGCCTTCACGCCATCTACCTGCACCAGGTGCGTCACCCGCGGTTCCCGGGCTCCCCCTGCCCACAGCGCCCCGGGGCACGGGTCCCTTGGGGTTCCCTGGTGTCTCTCACCAGTGTCACCACCTGTGGGCTCTGCCTCACCCCCGGGAGCCCTGCCTGGCCCTGGTCTCTTGTCCCCTGTCCCTTGTCCCCAGAGCCATTCCAGGCGGCCCCTTCCCTCCCTGACCCGCTGGGTGACCCCTCTGTTCCTGGCCGCTGCCAGATGGGGCGCTGGGGATGGGGCACCGCAGCTGGTGTCACCCTTGTTCCCCCTTCTGCCACCCCGTTGGGGCTGGGGAGTGTCCCAGGCTGAGGGACCCCTGTCCTGCTGCCCCTTGGGGGTCTCCGGGTGCCAGTACTGGGCGCTCTGCTGTGTTGGGGGGCTCTGGCTGCCTCTGGGGGTGTTGTGAGCGCTAATCCGGCTCTCTGCCACTCCCTGACCCCTCTGCCCCCCAGCTCCACCAGCAGCAGCAGCAGCAGCCGCAGGGGCCGAGCCCCCAGCCCGCGGGGGCACCCAAACACCCCTTTGTGACCACAGGTGAGCACCGGCCCGTGGGGTGTCCCAGGGGGTGGGGGGCACTGCTGACCCCCCCCCACCGCGGGGCTGAGCCTGGAGCTGGGCCAGGGGGGGTTCTGGAGGTCCTGACCGCCCTGTGCCCCCCAGGCTCGGCTGCCCGGGCCTCGCAGCTGCGGGAGATGCCGCTGGGCGGGTGGGCCGAGGAGGAAGAGGAGGAGGAAGAGGAGATGATGACGTAGCCGGGCCTGGCGCCGGTGGGTGGGGCCGGGGGGGCGCGGGGACCCCGGGACTGGGACGTGGAAAGCCCCGGGGGCGTTGGGGGTGGGAGACGGAACCCCTCAGGGCTGGGGGGCCTGGTGGCCCCCAGGGCTGAGGCTGCAGGGACTCGGGAGGGATACCCCGGGACACGGAGGGGCTGGGCACAGGGACCCCCGGGCTGGGCTTCAGTGGGGTCTGGCTGCCACGTGTGCTGGGTGCCCAGTGTTGGGGTCCCCACTCCGGGGTCCCTGCCCTGGGGTCTTGCTCTGGGGTCCCCGCTGACACCCCGTTCCCTCTGCAGGGTCCTGGTTGTGCCGAGACCCCCCGGAGGTGCCGGGGGAGCTGCCAGGGGCACATGGGGGGCTCGCCGTGCCCGCTATGCTGCCAGGGGGGCCCTGTGTAGGAGCCCCCTGCTCGGGGCGTCCCTGGTGACCCCACTACCGTGCAGGGCCAGGGGTGCTGCCAGGGTGCCCCCAGGTGCTGTTTTTGGGGGGGCAGAAGGCTGGTGCCCCCCGTGGTGCCCCAAGCACCAGCTGAAATAAAGGTTTACAGAGGGGCCGTGCCGGCTGGCTGTGCCTGGGGTGAGCTGGGGGTCCTGGGGGGCCGATGCCATGGATGGGGTGTGGCAGTTTGGGGTGACACCGGGGTTGTGGGCTGGTGGCAGCGGTGGTGCTGGCAGGGAGTGCAGTCCCCTGCAGCCACACAGGTGGGAGCCGCAGGGCCACAGCCCTCCCCGCGTTTCCCACCCCTCAGAGCCACAGGAGCGTGGCTGCCTCCTTTTGCCCCCCGTCTCCCACCCCTCGTGGCTGGAGCGTGGCCACCCAGAGGTGTCACAAAGCCCACCCTTCCCTGTGCCACCTCCCGTGCCCCGGTGCCACCGCAGGAGCCGAAGTGTCGGGCCGGGGGTATCAAAACTAAACCTTTACTGGGGGTGGCGGGAGGGGGCACAGCCACAGGGGTGCCCTGTCCCCGTCCCCGTCCCCGCTCAGGGCGCCGGGCCCGGCGGGCGCCGCTCCTGCAGGGAGAAGGACTGGCTGCGGATGCGCAGGGCCACCTCCTGCGTGCGGAACGTCAGCCCGAAGATGTCCTCGTGGTAGCGGTTCTTGTCCTGCGGGACGCGAGTCAGGGCCGGGGCACACCCCGGGGGTGTCCCCCGTGCTGTCCCGGGTCCCACCCCGGGGGTGTCCCCCGTGCTGTCCCGGGTCCCACCCCGGGCTGTGTCCCCCGGGCTGTGTCCCCCGTGCTGTCCCGGGTCCCACCCCGGGCTGTGTCCCCCGTGCTGTCCCGGGTCCCAGCCCGGGCTGTATCCCCCGTGCTGTCCCGGGTCGCAGCCCGGGCTGTGTCCCCCGTGCTGTCCCGGGTCCCACCCCGGGCTGTGTCCCCCGTGCTGTCCCGGGTCCTACCCCGGGGGTGTCCCCCGTGCTGTCCCGGGTCCCACCCCGGGCTGTGTCCCCCGTGCTGTCCCGGGTCCCACCCCGGGCTTGTCCCCCGTGCTGTCCCGGGTCCCAGCCCGGGCTGTGTCCCCCGTGCTGTCCCGGGTCCCACCCCGGGGGTGTCCCCCGTGCTGTCCCGGGTCGCAGCCCGGGGGTGTCCCCCGTGCTGTCCCGGGTCGCAGCCCTTACCCTCAGCTCGCTGATGACGTCCCCCGCCTGCCCCAGGGTCATGCCGCCTTCCTGGGCCAGGATGTGCTGCACGGTCTGCAGCACCTCGGTGGCCATGGTGACGTCCCCGCACACGTACATGTGGCCCCCGCGCTGGCACAGCACCTGGTGCACCTCGGCCGCCAGCTGTGCCCGCAGCACGTCCTGCACGTACGTCTGGGGACACACGGGGACCTTGGCATCCTGCACGCAGCCGGCCTGTCCCCAGGCCCCCACCCGCGCCCTGACCCTTTGTGCGCTGTCCCTGTCCCTGTCTGTGTCCCAGCCCCTCACCCCCAGCTCTGGCTGTGTCCCCCAGCAACGCCCGCCCCCTTCATTTCCTTCTCACCTCGTCCCTGTCCCCAGCGCCGTGCCCGTCCCAGCCTGTCCCCGTTCCGTCCCCATCCCAGTCCCCAGCGCTGTCCCCGCTGTCCCCGTCACACCTTGGGGCTCCCGGGCTCGCGGGAGAAGGCCGTGAGCACCTGGCTGAGGGCGCCCTGCTGCCGCGCCTCCTCCATCTCCTCGCGGTAAATGTGGTCCAGGGCGGGCGAGCGGCACCCGAACACCAGCACCATGGGGCCCAGGGGGCCACCTGCAGGGGACAGTGTCCTCGTGTCCCCACAGCCCCGCTCGCCCCTGCCCTGCAGCCCCCGTCCCCACATCCCCAGTCCCCAGCCCCTTCCCCATGTCCCCAGCCCCTTCGTCACTGCTGCCATGTCTCTTGTCCTACATCCCAGTGCCACCTTATTCTTGTGTGCCCATGTCCCCATGTCCCCCACCTCTCTGCATCCCTCCCATCCCCAGCTCCCTGTCCCCGTCCCCACGTCCTCCCAACCATCTGTCCCCTCATCCCCGTGTCACTATTTCTCCATCCCCTTCTCCCTGGTCCCCTATGGCCCCTGTACCCCACCCCCATGTCCCCATGTCTCCTGTGTCCCCATGTCCCTGTGTCCCCCATGTCCCCCATGTCCCCATGTCCCTGTGTACCCCATGTCCCCGTGTCCCTGTCCCCATGTCCCCGTGTCCCTGTCCCCGTGTCCCCGTGTCCCCCTGTCCCCGTGTCCCCGTGTCCCTGTCCCCACCTCCGGTGCGCAGCAGGTGCAGCCGGTGCTGCCAGAAGCTGCGGAAGGGCGCGACGCCGGTGCCGGGGCCCACGAGGATGCAGGGGGTGTCGGGGGCGGGCGGCAGCCGGAACGAGGGGGCCCTGCAGAATTGGGGGTCACCTGGGGGGGGCTTGAGCCCAGCCCCGGCTGGGGCCGTCGGGAAATGGGGCGGGGTGGGTCAGGGGATGTGTAGGGGAGCAGTTGAGGGGGACAGACAGGGATGGCAGGCGCGGGGACAGGGAGGGCAGGCAGGGGACGCGTGGCAGGACGGTGACCCCTTACCCCCGGATGAAGGCCGGCACTGTGTCCCCCGGCTGCAGCCGCGCCAGCCACGTGGAGCAGACGCCGTAGTGGAGGGGACCCTGCCCGTCTGTGGGGACCAGAGGGGGCCGGTGGGGCTGGGGCGGGTGGCACTCCCGGAGGCAGCCCCTCACAGAGCCCCCCGCAGGGGCTGGGGACTCCTCCGCGCCCGGGCCGGGCGCTCGAAGATGCTCTGGGGACACTGGAGATATTCTGGAAACCCTGGAGATGAGCTGGAGGCGCCCTGGAGCCCCGGGGATGCCCTGGAGGTGCCCACCGCCCGTCCCCATCCCCGCTCACTCTCGCTGTGGTAGGTGACGACGGCCACGGTGAGGTGGATCTCGCCCGGGTGCGCGCCGGGCGCGGAGCTGATGGAGTAGTAGCGGGGCTGGAGCAGCGGGAGCTGGGAGAGCAGCAGCGCGGCCGGCAGAGCCACGGACGGGAACTCGGCCAGCACCTCCGGCAGCGTCGGGCACCGGAACCACTTCCACTCCTCGTAGAGCCGCGCGTCCTGCGGGCACGGGGCTGGCACAGCGGGGACCCCGAACGGCGCCGGGGAACCCAGTGCCTGGCAGCAGCCCGAGGGGACCAGCGCCCAGCCCGGCGCGGGGAGCAGCATCCCAGCATCCCGACTGCGAGGTAACCGGCATCCCGGCGTCCCAGCCGGACGGGGGGGCCGGCACCCCAGTATCCCGGCACCCCAGTATCCCGGCCCCCCCAGCCCTTCTGCGGGCGGTGTCCCCCCCCTCACCTGCGCCAGGCGCTGGAGCCGCTCCCGCTCCGCGGGGTCCCGCGCCAGCGAGCCCAGGAGCTGCAGGAACTGCGGGGTCGGGGGCGCCGCCACGTCCAGGTAGAAGGTGAGAGCCTGGGCCAGGGTGCAGGGGGGCAGCCGGGGCTGCAGCACCCAGCAGGGCCCGGGGCTGGGCCCGCCTGGGGATGGGGGGGATCGTGGCGCTCAGTTCTGTCCTGCATCCTTCCCAAGGCCCTTCCTCTTTTCCTTCTTCCTCCCGCGCCCCAGGCGCTAACCCCTTTGTCCTCCTCTTCCTCAGTCCCTTCCCATTCCTTTTCCCAGCCCCTTCCTCTCACTTCCCCTGCCCCGATTTCTTCCCTTTCCCCTTTCTCTTCCCAAGCCTCAGCCCCTCCCCATCTTCCCGCGGTCCCCCTCCGGTACCGG